CCCGCGACCCTCAGATTACGAGTCGAGCGCCCTAACCACCTGGCCATGCCGGGCCTAAGTTTACGGGCTTACAACACAAAAATCCGGGGATCAAGTCCCGTGGCGGGCAGAGTGCAGGTAGCCTATTGTATAGTTTTGCATTAAGAAAAGAACAACCTCTATTTCCTGTCCTGGAACTGTGCATGTCATACTAAACAAGCCACTCTTCTGAGAAATAAACATATTTACAAAGCTGATAAAACTCGTTGAAAGTCGACACGAACGAAGCCTTCATACTTTCTTATCGGATTTTTCTTTTGTTATACATGATGTGTATCATTTTAAATTAGGTGTCAGGACTTACCAAGTCCACTCATTGATTGATTTCATTTTTATTCCAGGAAAAAAACTGTTCAAGTCGAAGAAAGCTGCGAATAAGAACTTAAGGTTTTCCCAGTGTCTACTGACACTTAGAATGTATGTCTGTCCAGAGCTTACCCCTTCAGGGGACTTACAGACTGAATGTATATTCTTGCCGGTGAAGCTAACAAAGTATTCAATACGTAACTGATGAATTTGTTGTTAAACCCAAAGGTGACAGACAAAGGTACCAATTCTTCAAAGTGGTGTTGTCGGGATTAAACTGACACGGTGATGTATACCACGCACAGTCTAGCTAACCATGTACAACAAATAGTATAACAACATCAGGGATTGGAAAGTTAGCCATATAATAAATGGTAAATATTGTTTTGGACTCAAGTGCCCTCATACTAAAAAAAAACATCGATTTAAAAATACAATACCTGGTGAAATTGAATTGCTTGATATCGGCAGATCACAAATAATAAAAAACAAATACACTTTTTGACTTACATTTATCTTAAAATGGTGTAATCAAACTTCTTCGTGGATGTCTTAAATGCTGTAACATATTCACTATGCCAACTTACAACTTTTTCTCTTACACCTTCATCTGGAAAGGTTAATCAAACTTACGCTAATAAACGTTACAATGCCTTGTCGCTGAAGCTGCTTGCCGTCAAATAAATCGACAG